GTGTGTGTGTGTGTGTGTGTGTGTGTGTGTGTACACACTCACCAGGCCCCTGAGTAATTTTTAAAATACAGATTCCAAGGGCTCATCCTTCTGCTCAAAACTCTTCAGTAGTTCCCATTGCTCTACAATGAGGTCCAAGCTCCTCGCCATGGCAACAAGGCTCCACATGACCTACATCCTTAAACCCTCCAACCTCCTCTCCCTCTTCTCCTTACAACGCCTCACACATACTAATGTCCTTTCTGCTCCCCAGGAACCCTGAAAGCCCCGGGCCTGTCTTTAAGTCTGTGCACTTGTCAGAATGTTCTCTCTCTCTCTTTCTCTCTCTCTCTCTCTCTCTCTCTCTCTCTCTCTCTCTCTCTCTCTCTCTCTCTGTTTTCCCCTCCCAGGTTTGGCTGCTTTGTCTCTTTGTGTGTGTAATGAAGGGGGGTCTATCCCACAGCCTGTCAAGCATTGGAAGAACATTCTTCCACTGAGCTGCAAGCCCAGCCCTACTCTGCGCCTCCTATGTAACTCATTCTATCCTTCAACTTTCTCTTGGCTCAGACTTCACCATTTCTTCCATGCAGCCTTCCCTGACCACTTGGTTAAGTCTGCCTCCACCATCTGTCTGCCATCTCAGGTCTCCCTTTATTTTCAATTTAGCGCTTATCTAGAGAACTGTTTTATTCAATACCTGCTGTCCGCCCCTTAACCTAAAGACTCTACCTTTATATTACATACTGTGATCAACACCTAGTCATGGCCTTGGATCTAAATCAATTCAAATGACCAAGTTAGTTTACTGCTTTATGAGTAGTTTTGTTTCGAGGTTATGAACAGTTTAGAATTTTTGAGTTTCATCGTGAAATGTTTCAAGCAATTGTCCAAACACTGAAAACTATAACAAACACTGCTATCCATAAGTAACATCCATTGAAATTATGCTCTATTTGTCTGTGGCTTAAAAGGAAGTAAAACAGACACTAGTACAGCTGCAATTGCTTAAAGCACATCTTCAATTCAAGCAGACATTGCCAAACTGTTCTGCAGAAAAATCTGCCAATTAATACTCACACTAACTGTATTAAAGGTGACTCAAAACAAAAAAAAAAAAGACTCACTTTGGGCTGATGGAGCAGACAGGAGAGAGCTGACTCTGGAAGGTGTCTTCTGACCTCCACAAATGCACTGTGTCTCAATCTTGAACACACACACACAGAGGTCCATACACATACACACAATTTTTCCCCTGAGACAGGGTCTCACGAAATTGCCCTGGCTAACCTGAAACTTGCCACGTAGACCAGGCTGACCTCAAACTCCCAGATACCTGCCTTTGCCTCCTAAGTTCTGGATTAAGGGTGTGCACCACCACAGCCATCTCCTCCCCCTAGAAATGTTTACTGTCACTCAAACATCGGCAGCATCAACTGATGTCAGACACAGCATGCGTGCCCCCATGGGACCTGCTTATTCCCGAAACTAGGCAGGCAGCATGTCAGGGTCCCGGACACTCATTCACCTGTTTTTATTATCTGTTCTTTTTTTTCTGCTAGGAAATACATGCTTTCTTACTCTGTCCTTTAGGGCAGATGCTGGTTATCTGCAGGGTATTTGGGGCAAGTATATTCCCCAAACTTGACTTACTCCCCAAGCTTCTCCTTTAAGATTTACATTTTGTTTAAGACGTTGTTCTGTGTTCCTAGTACCAGTCTCCTCCATTTTCCTTAGCAGCTTCACTTACACAGTCAGCTTTCATTAACCCATTTAAAAATGATTTTTGTCAATGACCCAGAGGCAGAAATCTTATCTTCTTGCCACTTGGGTTAATAGTTCTCCTAATCTAATTTTCTGAATGGTTCATCCGTTCTCAAATACTGTGTAAAGCCATCTCGGTCATGTGATATAAGGTTTCGTATGTAGATGGGTCTGCTAATAGGTAGTGTTCCGCTTCAGTGCTCCCTGTGTCTCTCATCTAAGTTAGCATCACAGTCAGTATAAACCCCACATGCGTGGACGGCACACTAGACTTTACAAGTCACCTCTAAACCCAGTTCAAACATCAAAAGAACCCTTCCTATGAATCAGATATTATTATTCACATTTATGCAAATGAGGATGAGGGTCATGAGGGTCATATTATCTGTTGTCACCAGCTAATAAACGGAAGCAAAAAAGGCCCAGTCTCACACCCTGGATGACTTCTCTTTCTACCAGACACTGACAAAAACAGTATCTTTCAAACTAGCTGTGTACTCTGTCTGAATGCAACAGAAACCTCGCTAAACGAACACTCGTTTTAACACCTGCGGCAAACTTGTGTATGGATGCTGCCCTTCGAAAGAAGTGCTATTCTGAAATCACCATTCCCCGCGGCCTCTTGGCTACTGCTCACCTCAAGCATAATGCTGCCAGTGAAATTGTTACTGTTTACAGCCCTGTACACAGCAGCGGTGGTTTCCCATCAGTGCTAACTCTGCAACTCCAAAGACTGATGTGACAACCGGACCGTGCATCTTGTCCTGGGAGGAGGCAGAATTGATCACCCCCCCCACCACACACACACACACACACACACACACACACACTGCTGTGGAGGTTTCAACCCTTTGAAATTCACTTATCAGCTGTACGATATGCTGTAAGAGGCAAAAGAGTATTGGAAAGCTGCCCAAGAGCCCAGAACCTACCTTAGGGACCAATGAGAGTGAGTATTCTTCAAATGGTTTGTACTAAGCAAATGGATTGCTCCATCTTGAGCTGACCCTGAGCTAAAAGTTGTTTCAACTGAACCCGAGTAGATTACTCAAGAGAGCAAACAGAGGCAGCTCGTGACATTCACTAAATGCACAGCTAGAACGGGCCCTTCTCTTACTGGCCATTACTATCTCATAGGACAACAACTTCAGAAAAGATTATTCTGAAAACAGAATGAGGCAGAGCCTAATGCACATCTGGTCACACTGCTGCCAAAGATACACCAGACACCCTCCCTCTCTTGGCCAAAGTGAACACTGTTTCTCCAAAACAGTTTAATCCTATGTCTCTCCTCCTTACTGTTTTTCAGGACAGTTTTATCCACAGCATCTAAGCTACACTGAGCCCCCTCTTCCATTTGGTCTCCCACAAACACCAATCCTCAAATCCTATAATCAGTTTCAACACACTCTTAACAGACACTGTCACCACCCGCCCCACATCTGCAAAGAGCAGTCACAATAAACTTGGTTTTAGCTACAGGTGGGGTCTCTGGAAAGTTCTCCCAGTAACAAGTAGACAAGAAGCCTCTCATCTCTGGAAGTCATTTCCAACACAATGAAAGAGAGGCAAAGGAATTTTTTTTTTTTTTTTTGGTTTTTCGAGACAGGGTTTCTCTGTATAGTTCTGGCTGTCCTGGAACTCACTTTGTAGACCAGGCTGGCCTCGAACTCAGAAATCCGTCTGCCTCTGCCTCCCAAGTGCTGGGATTAAAGGCGTGCGCCACCACTGCCCGGCAGGAATTATTTTAGTACCAGGGACCTGTTTCAACACCAAACCCCAGCCTTACCAACAGACATATTCACGAACAAACCTTTTTTGTTTTTAAGTAATACGCTTCCTTATAGACAAAACACCCTGGGAAAGTTGCCTGTGCCCTGGGAAAGCGAAGCTCATTTGACTCTGTAAATCTGTAGTACATTATATGAAGTACTGACATGTTCTTTTAAAACTAATGCCTCAGACTAGCTGATGTGAAGCCCCAGATAAAACCTCCATGAGGGGTGAGGGACTCATTCTTCCCAAAATTTCTTAAAAAGGACTTTTCTCTCCAAAAGAAATTTTCTCCTTTCTTCTCCACCTTCACCGTGTTCACTGTTAACATGTTTCAAACACGAATCTCTGGGGATGATGGTGCATACTTTTAATCCCAGCACTCAGGAGGCAGAGGCTGGCAGATCTCTTTTGAGTTCCAGGCCAGCCATAACTGCATAGCACGACTGTCTTCAAAATAAAAACCTTTTTTCTATTTTAGCAAGGAATCTTGTAGCAGAGAAGAGGACAACAGCACAGAAAAATTATTCATCCTGTTATAGAGAAGCATGTATTCAGGTTTGCTTACACCTTAAATGAAATTTACTGCTTATTCAAAGACATTCTGGCCAGTATTAGCGTCATCGTTCACAAGGGGAAACGATTTACATTCCAGAAGCAAAGATTACACTCAAGTGGACACGGGTACCTAGACCCTGCAAGAAAATATGCCAGATGAATTGATGAATCCAGACAGGTATCTAATTGTGAGCAAGAAACAGTTCAAACGAATGAAGGCTGTTAGAATAAATATCCTGGATGTCAAGGAGACTGAGGAGTAAGGATGTCTGTAGAAAGAACATTCCAGACCAAAACCACTGCTTCACACAGAATACTGGATGATCTGGTTAGAGACGTGGGAAGTTCCCAGGGATTTCATTTGCTCACATTAATAGGCAAACGGGACGAAATTAATGTTTAATTTAACACGATAATTTCTTTACGCAACTTGGTAAGGCAGAGCTCACAGCCTAACAGAGAGGATGGAAAGCATTTCCTTGGGAGCGGGGGTGTAGATTTCCATCACTGAACGGTTGGGGGTTGCCCCCTGCCCAGTCCAGCGACCGGCCTTGAGAACGTCAATGGGCCGCCCGGGTTGGATCTCAGAGCCCAGTGCTGACAACCAGCCACGGCCCAACAGGCCCCTGTCACGCCGCACTTTAGACCCACGGAGCTCATCCCACAACTCGGAGGGCCTCGGGCAACCCGAAGGCCAGCGGCCGGCCTCCAGGACTCCTCTGCGGCTCCCCAGGGGCGCCTGCCAGGAACAAAGGGGATACCGGGGGGCCACGCGCAGACCGCCCGACCGCACCTGCAGCCCTAGGGGAGACCGGGGCGCCCCCACTCCCGGCTCCCGCTGGCGCACTGCAGGAGCGCGTACGCGCAGGGCGGCCGACGGGTACCCGGGGGCCCGGGATCCCGCGCGCATCCCGCAGCCCGGCCTTTACCTGCACGTCACTCAGCTCCACGCGCAGATACAGCTCGCGGTGCCGCTGAGCCCAGTAGACGTGCGGCGTCAGCACTTGAGTCTCCATGGCCCACGCTGTCCGGGGGAGAGGGGAGGCTCGGCTTGCTGCGCCTCGTTACCTCGGCCTGTGAGCCGCTGGAGCTGGCCGAACGCAGGCCGCGAAACCGCACGCTCCGCAGCTCGCAGCCCCGCTGTCTCGAGGTGCCCCACGCTCGCGGCCCGCGCTTGCGCAGTGAGGAGGCAGGAGGGCGGTGCGAACGGGGAGAGCGAGAGGGCGGGGGCCGGACGTGGGGAGGCTAGCGACCTCGCCACGTGATCAGCGGCGGGCGCTGTGGCCTTGGGATCAGAGGCTTTCCAGCTCTGTGCTTACCTTCAGAGAGGTCTGTGCACAAAAATGTAAAAGTGAGAGTCTCTAATCTACAAAGAAAGGGCGGATCGGCGGCGTAGGAAGAGGCTTGTGTGCAAGGATCCCTTCCAAGTCTTTATGGATGAATGCAGCGTTTACTGAGAGCCCACCTCCTCCCTGGGCTTCAAAGCCACACACAGATGAGACGTTCAAGACGTACATTGGTGTTGCTTTTTTCTCTTTCTTTCTTTCTTTCTCCCTCCCTCCCTCCCTTCCTTCCTTCCTTCCTTCCTTTCTGCCTGTCTGCCTGTCTGTCTTACTATGTAGCTGTCGGTGACCTGGAACTCACCAGGTAGACCAGCTCTATGGACCTGTCTGCTTCTGCCTCCCGAGTGTTGTGATTTAAAAGTGTGCAACACTACGCCTTGCCTTGGGCTTCCTGTTTTAAGAGAGATGGCTTCCTTTCACTGCTCAACAGAACAGCCCATTCGTTATAGCTATTTACATTAACAAACAAACAAACAAAAAATCAGTTCCTTGACATCGCTTACTCTATTCTGAGCATTTGAGGACCCGTGTGCTCAAGGCAGACACTCTACTATAATCCCAGCCCCTTGCAGTGTTATCATCTGTTTCTAAGTTTTTCTGCAAAAAAGCACAGCTATTATGGACTCATCTCCAGGGAATTCAATAAGCGGGGAGAGGGAGGGAGGAAGGGAAGGAGGGAGGGAGGGAGAGAAGGAGAAGGAGGGAGGGAGAGAGGGAGGGAGGGTGGGAGGGGAAGGGAGGGAAGGAGAAGGAGGGAGGGAGGGGGAAGGGGGAGGGAGGGGGTTTAGAGGAATGTAGGTTAGTTGGTAGAGTACTTGTCTAGCATACATGGAGCCCTGGGTTTGATCCCCAGCAGCACATAAATCAGGAACAGTGGTAAACACTTGTAATCTCAGCACTTGAGATGTTCAGAAACGCAAAGTCATGTTTAGTTACATACTGAGTTCAAGGCCAACCAGAACAAACAAAGGAAGAGGAAATAAAAGAGTATCATCCTAGCAAGCTATAAAGGGCAAGGTGGTGGGGTAGGGTGAGGGAGATTAGAAGGCAAGGCCAGGCTGAGGGGGTGGGATTAAGGGTTTTATGATGATGTCAGTCAAATGAAAAGGAAACAAGACTGCCCTTCTCTCTAGAGACAGCCCTCATAGCCCTGTTTGGCCCAGCGCTGTGTCTTCCTTCTCAGAGATCAGTCGTTACCACTGCAGGAACTTTCATTTGGTCCTTGACACTGATAAAGGCTGTTGCCAGGACTTGAGCCTAGTTTCTGCTGCTGGCAAGAGATCCCGCTTGGCTTTGATGTTCACCTTCTTACAGACTCTTCTGATGCTTGAAGGACTTTTAGAAGAGGAGCTGGTCTAGATGGGGATATAGATTAGCTGGTAGAGCACTTGCCCAGCATACACAAAGCCCTAGGTTAGATCCTCAGAACCACCAGGCCACATATACCAATAGTATATTACATATATTACCATATGTAATCCTAGCACTAGAAAGATAGAGGCGAGAGGATCAAGAGTTCAAGGTCATCTTTAGAATTAAAGGCTGGCCTGGGATGCATGAGACCGTATATGAATCAAAAAAGAGGGGGTGAAGGGAGTCGCTATTTGGGGCCTCACCTAACCATCTAACCAGTTATCTATAACCAAAACCAAGTTTGTCTGTCTAAACCACAAGGGGAGAAAAACTGACTGGATAAACCCAGGCATCTAGTGGGGAACAATCAGGTCATATATCTAAAACCTCCTGACTATGCCAAGAGGGTGAATAATTTATCCAGCCTGTACCCGAAAGATCAGCTCACCAATTACAGTTTAAAGGAAGTCACACAGTTGTCCCCACCTGAGTTGATACTATCCTTCCATACCAGACTTACATGTGGGCTGTGCCCTTTTCCCCATATTCCTTCCTTCCCATCTGATAATTCAAGCGCTCTTAGCTGCTTACATGATTGCCAAACACAGACACTTGGCAAATATCTGTGCGTAAATAGTGCATCAGTAGTGGGTGTAAATCACAGAGTAAAATTCATGCATTCATTTGCACATCCTAAGACACTACTATACATATATACATGAAAACAATCAGTGTGGGGAGAGAAGGAAACCGAGTGCCTGGTGGACCAGGATGGGAGAAGACATTTCACCATATACCTTTTTATTTTTAAAGACAGTGTGCACGCATGTGTGTATGCACATGGTCATACAGCTGTGTGCATGGAGGGCTATATGTGTGTGTATGGGTATATGTGGATGTGTTTGTGCGTGTGTTTAGAGTCTAGAGATTAATATAGGTGTCTTCCTCAGCCACTTTTTGAAACAGGATCTCTCACTGAATCTGGAGCTCATTGATTTGACTGTGTTGGCCGGTGAATCAGCTCCAGTGATCTGCCTACATCCACTGTCTCAGAATCAGGTTTACAGATAGGTACCACTGCACCTGACTTTTGCAGGTACCAGAAGAACTCAGGTGTCCACACTTGCATAGCACACTTTAAAACTGAGCCATCTGTCAGACCTCCTCAGTGTTTTTAAAGCATGTGACAGAATTGCCTATTCAAAACGTAACTGTAAGAAACCCCATATTTTGTTATTGTAGCTTGATGCATGACATGCCTGTAACCTAGCCTGCTGTTTCCTGTGATCACCAGCCCCGCAGTGTATGCATTATCTACTCATGATCACTTGCCCCACCTAGATTGCCTGCTCTGCCATCTCAAAACATCTAACAAAATGTCTTTCAGAAAGGAGATTCTTAAAACATACTCATTAAAGATTACTGGCAGAGGAAAAAAAAAATGTCAATGATAGGACCCAATTCTAGAAACATTTTGGTGAAATTGGCACACCCATGCTTAAGGCAACTATGGGCAATATAAATTTGCAGAGTCATTTTGCAAAGCAACGTTGCAATATGTAGTGAGGAAAACAACATTTGTGTTATACAGTCTAGTTGTAATTTTAATTTTTTTCAAACGCCTATTTTTAATAATGGTTCTTAAGCACTTTAACCTCCCTTGTAGCCCATCACCCACCGGAGATAGTGGAAAAGAAAGGATATGGAGGAAGTGGAAGTGTTCAGAAATGGTTCTTTGGAGGAACTCTCATCTGTGTTGTCTGGAAATCAGCAGTTCAGTTCACAGGTTAGCAGCGGCAGCTCAGTTTACTTGCAAACACTTCACAGATACACTAACAGTCCAGTTCAGTAGAGTCGGGATAGTGAACAGGAATCAGCAGCGGTGGTACTACCCAGCAGAAACAGCCAGGCCTCAGCCTCAGCATGAGTCAGCAGGAGGGACCTGGAGGGACACCAGGAAAAATTCTTGGCTATGTCTCTCTCTGAAGTGAAGATCAGCGAAGATGCTAGACCAACAAGCATTGCACAGCTATCTCTATAAGCAAACCCAGCCAAGCCTCCATCACTGTCTGTCGAGTCCTCTTTATACTCTCTCCAAACTTCAAGTGTCCTCCACGGGTCTTGCCTCAGCAAGTCCATCTGTCTCAACTGACATCAATGCCAATCAGGACAAATCCATGGAAGCAGCAAGAAACTGCAGCACAACACCAGAAGTTTGTTGGTACATTTCTCTATATGGAGTCCCAACAAATGCAGCTCAACTACACAATGTAAGGCGGGCCAACACAAGCGTGTCCTTAGCAAAGAACATCCTCTCTCCTGTGTCTGCTTCAGGGAAACGTTCCTTTATGAGTCTGCCTTAGCTTTTCACCTGTGTCCACTTCAGGAAAACACTCCTTCACGTGTTTGCCCCAGCAAAACACCATCCAACTGACTTTCCAAAGAACCCTTAAGTTTCCACTTCACCTAGTGATTTATCGTTTGTGAATTTTAGTCTAAGAATAATAGTTCCAAGGAAGAAAGATGTACTAAATGTCTATAAATACCACACGGGGTTTAAAAAAAAAAAAAGCCCAAACCAATCCAGTTGTTGTATTACAACCTGTAGTTGGGGAAAATAGCAAATTCAAAACTAGGAACACCGAATGTGTTATGACTTGTTAAAAAATATTTTTTAATGCTATTAACATTGTACAGAGGGAAGATGCTAAGAAGTAACTTGGGTTTTGTTTTTCTTGCTGTATAACTGTGGTCATCAGTTTTACTGTAAACTTGACACAATCTAGAATCACTTGGAAAGGGAATCGCAAGGAGGAATCTTCTGGATTGTGTTAGATTGTGGGATATAACTGTGAGGGATTTTCCTAATTGGATTAACTGGGACTGGGAGACTCACCCTGATGTGGGCAGCACCATTTTGTGGGCTGCGTCCCAGTCAGTGTGAAAAGGAGAGGTCCTGCTCAGCACTGCCAGCTGTTCCCCTCTGCTCTTGACTCAGTGTGATGAGACAGGCTCATCACATTCTTGCCTTCCCTGTGATGATGCTCTGCAGCCTGACTTGGGGTGAAAGCAAACCCTTCTCTCCTAAGTAGCCCTTGTCAGAATGTCTTACCACAGCACTGGGCAAGGGGACACTAGCACTGGCTCCTTCCCAACTTGGAGTGCCAGTACAAGGCAGCCATTGCTCTCCTGGAGTTGCAGTGGTGGGACTCAAGGGCAGAGATGGCAAATTCTCCTATGTGAGACAAAATATCCCGAAGGACAAAACAGCCCAATTGTAAACACGTTGTTCTACTAAGAACAAACTCAGAAAAGGCAACCCATCCCCAGACAAGGAACTCTGGAGGAGGCTTTGAGAGAAACATGCTTAGGTCTGAAATGGGGAGGGGGCAACACTGCTTCTAGGGCTGGCTCCTCGGGGGGGCTTAAGAAGCAGGTGACAATTTACTCATATAATGTACGCAACACTGGATTTACCTATGAGAAAAATTATTCTTTTTGTTCTTACACGAGTGAGTCACGTAAGTCCAGGTTGAGTTGAACTACATAAAAACTAAGAAAATTACATACACGTAGCTTGAAATTGTTTCTCTGCTCACATGTAAAATGTACATACAAAACAAAAGGCTTACGGCAGGTTAGCAAGATTACTGATATGTATTTTGGTTTTTGGTTGTGTCTGAAAGTTTTGTTTAGACTTTAGGTAAATTTGGGAGACTGATGCTTGTGGCTGAAGAGATTGCACACAGGCTTTTGTATGCCTCTCAGGTTCTCCAGGTTTTATCTTTCTTTGGTTTTGGTACATGTAGGAGAAGATCAGTGTAGTATATGTGTTCATGTGACTGCATATGCAACATGTGTTTAGTGTGCATGCACATCCTGTGCACAGGATCTAAGGGTCTGGTCCAAGGCAGATGGTTCAGGCCCTGGCTGGCTCTGTGTTCCCCACCTCTGTATTGCTCACATCACCGCCATTAATAAATCAGATGACACATGGAACCCCAACTGTGCGTGGGCATTTCTGATTCCTTTTTGATTTCACTTGGTGATGTCCATCTGGACTGTGCTACTGTTCTCGTATTACAGTTGAGAGAGAGAATGCTGAGAAAGGGCTGGCATTCCTGTCAGCGGGGGGAAGGGCTGGATATGAGGCCAGATCTGCCTCATAACTGGAGTTTAGTTCCTTCAACCTGGTCACTGGTACAGACCCGGAATGGAAGGTTGTCAGAGTCTTGACTACAGACCCAATATCTCAAACAAGATCTGATGTAGCCTAGACCCTTCAGAAAGAGGCCTCGATACAGGAGGGTCTCACCTTCCACTCAAAATCTCCCTCTAGGTAGTGGTTTGCTTCAGTCAGTACGTGGGCAAACCCGTACCAGCCCTGATACGTTCTCTTTTCTCCCATTAATTTATTTATTCATTCAGTTTGCATCCTTCTCGGTCCCTGCCCCCACACTGTGGTATCTTTAAAGAAGATTTCTTTGTTTTTATTTTATGTGTATGGGTTTAATCTACATCTATGTATATTCATTGTGGGAGTTCCTGGTGCCCAAGAAGGCCACCAAGGACATCAGAGTCACTGTATAACACGGAAGTGGTATTTCCTGAGCCACTGTATGGGTGCTGGGAACCCAACAAGAGATTTAAGGGTTTGGTTTTTTTTTTAACATTTATTTGATGTTCATTGGTGCTTTTCCTTAATGAAAGTCTGTGTGAGTGTCAGAAGTGCTGGGACTGGAGTTACAGCCAGGTGTGAGGTGCCACGTGGGTGCTGGGAATTGAACCTGGGTCCTCTTCAGTAGGAGCCAGTGTTCTTAACCACTGAGCCATCTCTCTAGCCCTGGATCAAGTGTTCTTAACTGCTGAGGCACTTCTCCAACCCCCATCCCCTGCTGTTCTATCTTAGTCATGCTTCACGTCCTAGGTAACTTGTCTTTTCCTGTTTAGTGCCAAGACTACAGGGCAGCATAAAACCAGCTAAGCTTTATCAGTAACACATAATAAGACTTGGCAAGGCCTGACTTGCTTGGCAAGTAGAGATATAATGAGACACTTAGGTTTAGTCTTTCATTCACATGTTCACATGAAGTATGCACAAAGGGATCAGGCAGGCTTCTCAGAGTTTTTGTTGTTGGTGGTGGTGGCGGTTTGTTTTGTTTTGAGACAGTTGTCTCTGTATAAGCTCTGTTTGATCTGAAGCTCACTTTGTAGACCAGGCTGGCCTGAAACTCACCTAGATGTCCCAGTCTTTACCTCCAGAGTGCTGAGGTTAAAGGTGTGCACCGCCATGCCTGGCACTTCTCAGGGTTCTTGATAGGTACACTGTGCTGAAACAAAAGGCAGACGTGAATTACGGGACACCTGCCACTGAGAGGACAAGTCTTGATTGTGATAAGCAGCTTTTATGTTCTTGGCAAAGGGGAAAGAAAACCATAGGTTATAGGAAGCTGCAGGGAGAGAAGTATCTTTCTAGCAGTTTCCCAAGAGAGACTGCTTAGAACTCCTCACAAATCTCCTACACTTTCCACTAAGACCCAGATAAGCTCTGGCTAGAACCTTTGCTCTGTGGCTGTACGGGGGGCAGGTGTTGCTGCCAAGAAGCTTTGACATTGCCCTGTGGCTTCATCAGAATTTGAGGGTTGTTTATAAGCCTTGGTGCTGGGGAATTGAGCCCAGAGCTTGTCCTGCCAAGCACTTTTCTGTGAGGGGAGAGAAGAGGAGCTAGAGACACAGCCACACTCTGTAGCGAGGTGTCTAGAACGCACTATATAAGCTGGATTGGCCTCTGTCTCACTTGATAGCTCAGGCTAACCTCATACTCACGGAAGCCCTCTTATCTAATTTCCCAAATGGGGAACTACAGGTGCAAGCCGCCACTCCCTGCTGCAAAGCACCTGTCCCACCACTGAGCTACACTCCTAGCCAAGGGAAGGTTTGTTTGTTCATCTTAACAATGGTAGAGGAGAGAGAAAAGAAATCTGAAAACTAATAAATCTGACTCTGACTCTCTCTCTCACACTAAGTTGTCCAGATTGGTCCTGAACTCAGAATCCTCCTTGCCTCAACTTCCTGAGTACTAGGATTTCCAGCCTGTACCGCCAGGTCTGTCTTCTAATTCATTATGAGAATGCAAACTGCATAAAAATCATGAACTTTAGCCGGGCAGTGGTGGCGCATGCCTTTAATACCAGCACTTGGGCGGCAGAGGCAGGTAGATTTCTGAGTTTGAGGCCAGCCTGGTCTACAGAGTGAGTTCCAGGACAGCCCGGGTTATAAGAGAAACCCTCTCTCGAAAAACAAACAAACAAACAAACAAAAAACAAAAAAAATCATGAAATTTGTCTTTTTCCCTCACTCTTTGTGGGCCCAGATTTGAGAATCGTGTCAGCAAATGGTAGAGAATCCATGAGTGCAAAGGAAGTTCGAGATAGCTCATTGTATTTTGATAAAGAGGTAGGTGTGTGTATTTAAAGTCTTAAAACCCGCTCTCAGGTCAGAGATATCATATGAGATACTTAGAGAAAACCACTCTCCTTTCTTTTAGGAAGCTCAACCTCAAAAAAAAAAAAATTACAGGGAAGACTCTGTTAACCTTACAGTGGGTCAATACATACTGCAGAGGGACACAGTACCTTTGTATCCTTTCTTAGTGGCATTACAATAATCCCAGTGACACACAACTCCCAAAGACAGTAACAGGAGCCAGGGGAGGAGTAGCTTCTTCACCAGTCTGGTCTCTGCCTACTTTCCCAGCTACCCTTTACACTATTTTTCTTTCCTCTTTCCCTCAGCTAATGGAGACTGTAGATTAGGAAACAAATGATGGGTCAAGGGACGTGGCTCTGAGTGTAACAGCACCTCCAGGCCTTATTTCTCTATCTTTTATGTTTCAGTGTCACAGACAGTGTTCTCTTTCATCACAACTAAAGGACATGTTGTTACACCCATTTACAGAGAGAAGACCCTAACCTCTAAGAAAGAATGGGTGGTCTACTAAAGATCTTTAACATTAAAGACAAAGTTCTGGATGCTGGAGAGATGGTTCAGAGGTTAAGGGCGCTGTCTGCTCTTCCAGAGGTCCAGAGTTCAATTCCCAGCAACCACATGGTGGCTCATAATCATCTATAATGGGATCTGATGGCCTCTTCTGGCATGCAGGTGTGCATGCTGATAGAGCACTCATATGCATAAAATAAATAATCAATTAATTTAAAAAAAGACAAATTTCTGTATCCAAATTCTTGGGTTTTTTTTTCCCATTGTAACTGTGTAATGCTGAGGTCTCCAAAGCCATAGCTGGCCTCTGTCATCTTGAAAAGGCAGGAATTTTGGCTTTCTGCTCTAACGCAGGAGTGTGTGTGTATGTGTGTGTGTGTGTGTGTGAGAGAGAGAGAGAGAGAGACAGAGAGAGAGAGACAGAGAGAGAGAGACAGAGACAGAGACAGACAGACAGACAGACAGACAGAGAGATTGGATATAGAGGTTGAATGACAGCCTGCTGGACCTGGTTTGCTCTTTCAGAAATCTTGTAGGCCTAGGTGCCTGTATCTGCTGAGCCATCCCACCGGCCTGTGAAAATGGAGTTTATCTATTTTGAGTAGCCAACAGAGGTGGGGTGAATGTTTACTGATTTCTCTTCGAACCTTCTGTTTTCCCTCCTTTCAGGCCGTCCACTGGGCGCGCCTCCTCCCGCCGCTCGGTGGCGCTGTGGGGCCTGCTCGCGCACAGAGGCGAGAGCCATCCTTTCTTGGTCCGGCCGCTAGCCTTCCTCTGTCGGAGGGCGGGGCTCGAGGAACCGGAAGTGCCGAGGCCTCCGGTGCTGTCTTCACCGCCGCCGCTTTTAAGTCCCTTCGTCCGCTGCCTGGGTGCCGCGGGGGCCGCCGCCGAGGAAGCTGCTGTGGCCCCGACGGGAGCGGAGGCGGCGCGGCATGAAGCGGCGTAGGCCCGCTCCATAGCGCATCGGGACCGTCCGGGCGGGCCCGGGGGAAGGTGCAGTATCCGCCCGCTCTCCCTCCCCTGCGCCCGCGAGGCCACGGCGCTCCGGCCGGCCGCCCTCGGGCCGCTCCCGCAGGGAGAGCGGGTGGCTGGGCCCCGTTGGCCGGAAGAGGAAGCGCACACTCGGATTGCGAGGCCGCCAACGTTCGCTAGGCTCCCCTGAACGCTGGCTGCTGCCTGCTCGGACTCGCACGTCCGTTATCTTGATAGAGCCTGGCTCGGGTTGGGATGCCGGGGACGGTCCGGGCTTACGGAGGAGGAAACGGAAATCCGCAGAGGCGAAAGGGTTCGCCTGAGGTCCGCCAGTGGCGGATGGGATTCGCCTTTTGGACTCGCTGCTTTTCCCCAGCCGGTGTTCCTCCCTCCTGCTTCACTCTAGATCCATTCCTCCGCGCTCACCGTCTCGCTGCCATTCTGTTCCACCCATTCGCAGCAGGGTCCTTGCCCTTTCCTGTCCGGCTTGCTCATCCTCTTTTAACTCTAAGCCTTGCTGCTCCTACTGTTCTCTCGCTCCACATTCGCTGCCGCCACACCTTTCCTTCTTCCTCATTCATAGCTTTCAAGCCCTTCACCTCTGATAAACTTTCCTAGCTGTAGACTCCAAAGAGTGAAATGGCTAGGCTCCAGTGAGGTGTGCAGGGTCTGGACGACTCGATTGGTTCTTACCGTAAGAAGCTACGGGATGCCATTTCTGTAGATTCCCCCACCCCAAGAATCCCGAAGCTCTTTTAAACCCAATATGTCATTTTCGGAATGAGGGGTTTTGCACTCTGGGGAGGTGTCTTGACTCTTAGCCTATTGCTGCTAACTTTTTTTTTTTAACCCTCCTCTTGCCACATAGCTTCCTCACTTCTCTCTGCGTGGCATACAGAGCTTGGAATCTAAACATGCAATTTATTGTTGCAAAAATAACACACACTTTTTTTTCCCCTAAGCTAGACTATCAACTGGCTCCGTGATTATTATTATTATTTAGCTATCTCACTTATTCTCAATATTATGGCAAGAAAAAGAAGTCAAAAATGGAATACACTTAAAATGAATAGGACATCTTTGTCAAAAAAAATTCTAGATGGGTATAGTGGTGCATAGCTGTAACCCCAGTATTTGGGAGGCTGAGGCAAGAGGATCTTGAGTTCAAGACTAGCCTTGGCTACAGAGTGAGACGCTGTCTACCAACAGACAAGTGAACACACTTTAGTTGATTAAATTCAAGTTCCCTTTCTGCAAACAATGGCCTATAATGCACATTTTTTATTGTACTGAGTTTATTCTCTCACCAGCTTGATATGACATGTAAAAGGAACATAGGCACATAGAAATAAATTCTATCTTTGTGTGTGTGTGCTTGTGTGTGCTCGCGGCTTTACACGCACATGTCTTGGGGATCGTGTGGAAGCTGGAGGGTAACTTTTGGAAGTCCTCCCTTTCCACTTCGTTGAGGCAGAGTCTCAATTGCTGCATACTCCAGGCTAGCTGTTCAACTTCAGCCGATTCTCCTATCTATGCCTCCCTTGCTGCATTAGGGGTGCTGGACTGACAGACTCGCTAATGCTTTCCTGGATTTCCGGGGATCCTCAGGCTTCTGCCACAAGTGCTTTTACCGTTTTGAACCAATTCCCTGGCCCTAGAAATAAATTACATCTGCCAAATTCAAGGCTTTACATTTGAAACCACATCTATATGCCTTTTTAAAAAAGGTTTGTGTGTATGCGTGAAGATATGTGCATGTGAGTATAGTTCCCATAGAAACCAGAGGTATTGGATCCCCCTGAGAACTGGTCTTATGGTTGTCAGCAGCCAGAAATGGCTACTGAGAACCAAACTTGGGACCTCCGCAATAGCATTATTAACTCTTGACTGCTGTGCCATCTCTGGCCTACTTTTGCAATTTTTAAAACCTATAATTTTCCCTTTAATGTGTCTGGGCATCGAGATTTACACCTACTGTTAGAACTTAACTGCATTTCTGAAAAAAAGTAATTTTCAGGCTGAGCTCGTTAGCAAAGGTCTGCAATTTCAACACAGGAAGCTGAGGCAGGAGGACTGAGAATTGAAGACCTGCCTGGGGTCTGTAAGACCTGTCAACACAAACACACTTCCGACAAACTGGAGATCCACAAGAAGGCATTACATATTATACTAACAGGAAATACATCAATTAAATATTTTGGGATTTTTTTAGGCTTATTTTTGACCATATATGGTCCATTTTAATGATCAACATCTCTTATCTGGTAAGCAGGATTGGATGGTGAGAAAAGGAAAGATTCCTGTGAGAAGAGATCAGGATGAGCGGAGAGATCTGTGCTTAAAGTTGGGCCAGGTGAAAATGATCTCTTTGAAAGTAGAAGAGATCTGAGCAGATGAAAATTCCATCAGGTAGGCACCAGGGAAGGTCCAGAAGCGGAGAGGGTGGGCTGTGAAATGTATGCATTATGCTGAGAATGGATAGGACCCTGTTTTAGAAAATACAGAGAGTATCAGGGGAATCCTGGAAATTAGTTACACAGTTGTGTAAATTGACTCTCTAAAGTTGTTAGTGACCCCAGCAGTAAAACTCAGGAAGTCAACCGAGCTGCTCTTTTCTGTTCCTTGACCTTGTACTTGCAAGGAGTAGAGAAGAGATGGAATTTCCCACTTAAGAAAAGTGAGTTGGATTGGTATACATTCTTTTCATTTTAGTCCCTTGGTCCATCACAGGACTAGGTCCTTTGACATACTTGATTGAAAGTAGGCCTCCTAGCTTTTAGTTGGGCCAACAGCCACCAGTCTCAGGTACTGCCACTTGATACTCTAAGTCCCAGTTGATCTAAAAACTCAATTCTCTGCTGGATTTTAGTCAGTGGAGGCCTAGATGCCTAATGATGAGAGTGTTATAACTATACCTGATGTAACAGCATTTGAACTATTTTGTTATTGTTACATTAGAAATGGTAGTATCATGCATAGAAAATGATACAATGCCCCGCTGTGCACAGTTCAGTACTTTTGCATACCAGTAATTCAAGTTAGGTGGACTGACTCACAGCCTACACCTTCAGGTTACTTGCTAGATTGCAGATAAGTTCTTAGCATGAATTGATGTTAACTGCAAAGCAGAGCTTTAAAAGAAAGACTTCATCTTAAATACACAAGCCATGTATTGATTGTTGGAGAAGTAGTTAATGATTATGTGAAACATGGTTACAATGTAATTTGTTTTAGTTTGTGGAACTGGGATTGAACCCACCACTCAGCTACAACTCTACATGGTTTCATGATAGCCTTTTGTTGTGTTTATTTTTCTCTGATACTTTGCTCATGTTACATTTAAATATCAGAAAAGATCAAGGAGGAAAGTGTATCTTCTGGGTTTGTAAAATAAGTATAATCAGTTTTAAAGGCTATTAAATAATTATGGTGTTGAACTGGTAAATTGGATACAGACTAATAAAATGCTGATGTGAATACCATATGCTTTCCTCATTGACTCCTTAGATTCTTTAAAGCCACTGACAGCCTTTTCCTTTTTTGAATAGAAGTTACATAATCAGGAAGACTAGTCATGTAACCATCAGTAAACACTATGTATCACAAGTACTTGATAGTGTCTAGAGACGAGCAGAAGGTTCAGAATGTATCAGTCTGTGTTTAGTTGTTAGGAGTCCCTCTCTGTAAAAGAAAACAATGTATTTTCTTAGGTTACTGCCCTAGATTGTTAAAAAAAGTTCATTGTAACAATATTACTGTTCTAATTTGTTACATTTTAGAAACAGCGCAATCAGCATTTGTTAGATGTGTTACTTTTTAAAATGCAAAAACCACTTACCTCCTCTGGCACATAGCTTCACTATTGACATGCTCTGGAGTGGGATGTAGCAGCCAACTGGCACATGGCCTGTTTCCTTCCAGTGTGGGAAAGGAAAAGGAATTTTGGCAGGAGATACCCAAGGAGAGCCTTTTATAAAAAGTTCCCAAAGGGATTTATAGTCACTGTGAAATTGACATGACCTCAATTTAAAAAAAAAATCTTTTTGGAACTGAGCACATAGATGGAAGTGGGGGACACCGCTACGGCTTTTCTTACTAGGTTTCATTGCAACTGTGATGAAAGGCGTATTATGTATTTATTTGGCAGTGCTATTGTAATAATATGATGGAAGACGGCCCTGTAAACAGCCTCTTGTGCCTTGTTTTCCAGGAAGATGCAACATGGCAGCAGCAATGGAAACAGAGCAGCCGGGTGTGGAGATCTTTGAAACTGCAGAGTGTGAGGAGGGAAACGGCGGATCACAGGATGGACCCAAACTAGAGCCGTTTTATGTCGAACGGTATTCTTGGAGTCAGCTGAAGAAGCTGCTCGCTGATACCAGGAAATATCATGGCTACATGATGGCTAAGGCGCCTCATGATTTTATGTTTGTGAAGAGGACGGATCCGGATGGACCTCACTCAGACAGGGTCTATTATCTTGGTGAGTGTGAGGTTATGCATTCAGCACGAATGCGCCTCCTCATGTGTGAGTGCTAACTGTAACTCAGAATCGATCTCGGTAGTAAGCAAATCCATGACTCGTTAATTTGAAGAACTTCTGTTCAATGGATGTATTAATTTTGATTCATTTCATTAGGTAATTTTACTTGCAGGCAGAGCAAGTAATTGACCATGATTTTTTTGACAAAGATGAAGTTAAGCTAAGACTTGATTAAATTGATTAAAGCTGGTTTGAAATGCCGTTCCTGCGGATGGGGTCAGGATGAGAACAAACTGCAAACCCTTTCGCGTGCTCTCTGCCTTTACAGCTCCGCTTCCACGGTTTCAAACCAAGTCTTGCTCTCATCTTCTTGTGGCCGTTTATTCCATGCTTAATATCTGTCTAAATTAAATATATTAGTTCACTTAATGTTTTTCCTTTCTGTGC